AGCAACCTCCAACTCCTGGGCTCAAGCGAGTCTCCTGCCTCAGCCTCCCAAGCAGCTGGGACTACAGGCGCCCGCCACCACGCCTGGCCATTTTTTGGTTGCAGCCATCATTGTTTTTTGGTGGGCCTGGGCTGGGGATTCGAACCGCCACCTTAGGTGTATGTGGCTGGCGCCTTAGCCGCTTCAGCCACAGGCGCCAAGCCATGTCATTAATTTTCTGAGTGATTCTTTTGATTTTAATTTCATTCCTCTCTGTTCTAATTTTGGTTATTTCATTTCTTCTGCTGGGTTTGGGATTAGATTGTTCTTTTTTTTCCAATTCCATAGGATTGTTCATGAGTTTGTTGCTGCACTCTCTTTCTGTTTTTTGATTGTAAGTATCTAATATGATAAGTTTCCCTCTTAAGGTTGCTTTTGCTGTATCCCACAGGTTTTGGTAACTTGTGTCTTCATTGTTGTTATGTTTGAGGAATTTAACGATTTCCTCTTTTATCTCTTCCTGAACCCAACTATCATTCAGCATAAGGTTTAATTTCTAATTCTCTGTGTGGAGATGAACATTTTTGTTGGAGTTGAGTCTGTGAAGATACAAGGTATAATTTCTATTCTTTTAATTTTGATGAGGTTTGATTGTAACCTAGGATGTGCTCAATTTTGGAGTATCATGGACTGATGAGAAAAATGTATATTCTCTAGCTTTGGGATGGTGTGTTCTGTATATGGCTATTAATCCCATTTGTTCTAGGGTCACATTTAAGTCCTTTGTATCTTTAATTTCTGTTTAGATCTGTCCAGTTCTGTCAGAGGCTGTCCAGTTCTGTCCGAGGGGTGTTAAAGTCCCTGAATATTATGGTGTTATGGCACATCATACTGCTCAGACCTGTCAAGGTCTGTTTCATAAATCTGGGAACATTTTAGTTGGGTGCATAAATATTTAGAATTGAAATGTCTTGTATTGTTCCTTTGACCAGTAGAAAGTGTCCATCTTTGTCTTTCTTTAGTTGCTTAAAATCCCCTTATATCTGAAAATATCGCAATCCCTCCTTTCTTCTGATTTCCATTGGCTTGAAATACTGTTTCCCACCCCTTAACATTGAGTCTTGATTTGTCCTTCAAGTCTAGGTGTGTCTCTTAGAGACAGCATATGGACAGCTTGTCCTTTTTCATCCAATCAGACAGGCTGTGAGTCTTCAGTGGTGAATTCAGTCCATTGACATTTATTGAGAGAATTGATAAATGTGGTGGAGTTCTATCCATCTCATTATGTGAAAGTCTGTTGTGTAGTTTTATCCTTTGTGCCACTGTGGAAGCTAAGTTTTGACCTTTAGCTTCCAGATGTTTACTTTGCTGGTGGTCCACTGTGGTGGTCAGTGTTGAGAATAGGTTTAAGTATTTCCTGTAGAGCTGGTCTTGTGGTGGTGAATTGGTGAATTTCCTCAGTGAATTTTGAAGCTAATTTAGCAAGATATAGAATTTTGAGCTTAAAATTGTTTTGCTTAAGACTATTGAAAGTGGATAACCATGCTCTTCTGGCTTGGCAAGTTTCAGCTGAAAGTCTGCTGTCATCCTAATGGCTTTGCCTTTGTAGGTCAGTTGGTGCTTACTCCTGGCTGCTTGGAGAATTTTTTTCTTTCATCTTGACTTTGGACAGGTTTATTACAATGTGTCTTAGAGAGGCTCTGTTTGAGTTGAGATGACCCAGAGTTCGATAGCCATCTGAAAGGAGTGTGTCAGGGTCTTTAGTAAAACTTGGGAAGTTTTCATTTATGATAGTCTCCAGTAGGGCTTCCATTGTTTTGGGACAATCTTCTTCCCCTTCCAGGATCCCTGTTAATCAGAGGTTTGAATGCTTCATGGAGTCTAGTAGTTTTCTAAGTGCCTGTTCTACTTTCTCTTTTCTTCTGCCTCTTCAACTACCTGGGTTAACTCAAAAACTTTATCCTCTAGCTCTGAGGTTCTTTCTTCTCCATGTTCTAACTTATTTTTGATACTTTCAACTGCATATTTACATTCCCTGATTGTCTCCTTCATTTCTTAAGCTCCACCTTATCCTTTCTATATTCTACATATCTCTTGTCCAACCTTTGGTTCTGTGTTTCCATTGTCTTGTCCATTCCTTTTATTATCTTTATCATCCACATTTTAAATTTCCTTTCTGTCAAGTCCATTAATTCTTTATAGCTGGAGTCTCCTGCAGTAGCTGCCTCCTGGTCCCTTGGGGAGTTGCTGTTTTGGTTTTTCACGTTGCCTGAGTATTTCTGTTGGTTCCACCTCATGTATTCTTTCTTCTTGTTCACCTCCTTGTTCTCCTTTTTCCTTCTCACTGCCTCCTTTGTTTCAAACAGAAGTCCTTGCTCTTGATTTATGTTCCAATATGTTTCTGGGACACCAGGTGGAGCTGTGGTTGTTTAAGGAGACCCCACAGCCAGCAACTTCTATGGTCTTCATTCCAAACTTAGTTGCCTTCAGTGATCACCTGGTTGCAGCATTCAGACCCTGCTGGGTTAGGATCTCAAAACTCACAAGAATCCTTCAGGGGGAGGCCTCACAGTTTCCCGACTCCCAATCCTGTGGGGTGCAAGAGTCCCTCAGCCTGTCCTAAGAGTGGAGCTCTGATCCCAGCAGGCATAATTAAGATGTTCATGCTTTAGGCACCTGCTAAGACCTTCTCATGACCTTCCCACAATGGCAACCCCTTGGCCACTGAGACCCTCTCAGTATGGCTGCCTTGCCAGCCACCAAAACTATGGCAAATCTACTCCATCCAGCACTCAAATCTGGTTGCTGTACACTGTTCAAGTTTGTCCACTCTTCTAAGCTTTCCACTCAATGTGCAGCTTCCTCCAACTGAAAATTCTGGGAAACCTTCCTTCCATCCTGGAACTCTGTGGGGGTCAGCTGATCCCAGCCAGTTACAATCACTTGCCTAACTCATCAGATTTTCACTGCTCTGGATCATATGCTGTATCCAGCTCACCACACCTCCTTGCTGCATGCCCTGAGCTATGACTCTTAGAAAGGTCCCCACACCAGGTATGGCTGGGTTCTCTTTTTCCTTAGTCACTCTAGGAGAGCTCAGCTCAATGATCCTTCAGACTGCTATCTTCTAGTTTCTCTCTATTAATACATTTTCAAAAAACACATGAACGACATACATAAAAATACCACACTGATCACTACCTTAGAAATAGTTTAATATTTATTTGCAAAAATCAAGTGAAAATCAAAATACATTTTTCTCTCAAAAACAAATTCACTAATTGAAAGGTATCAATTTTTTTCATAGTAGAAATAAATTATGTAATATTTAAGCTTTTGAATTATACTTTATTTTCTAAGAAAAAAGGCTAAAAATACAGGGTTTTTAAATACCAAAATGGATGATATATCATCAGGCTTGTTCCAAAGACTCACATTCATTATAAACAATTATAAACTTCAGACAGATGAACAGATCATGCTCTATAAATACTAGTTTGTTATATACTATGTAACCTACTATAAACACCCTAATTTTATGTTATTACTTTTCAAAATATTTCAAACTAATCAATGTTTTTCCCTTGCGCCTAAGTTTTCCTATTTAGGAAATTTAGGGGCTTATCCCCTTCTATAGAGTTACCAAAACTGAATGTTTTTCTGCTAATAAAAACTGTCCTGGAAATCTTAGTAACAGTAAAGTCACATCAAGTGCATACAAATCTTTTATTTTAAAAAACAGTGATTTAATCAAGCATGGTGGCTCACACCTGTAATCCTGGCACTCTGGAAGGCCAAGGCAGGTGTATTGCTTGAGCTGAGGAGTTCCAGACCAGCATCAGCAAGAGCAAGACCCCATCTCACTAAAAATAGCAGGGCAGTATGGCAGGCACTCATAGTCCCAGCCACTCAAGAAGCTGAAGCAGGAGGATGGCTTGAGCCCAAACCTTGAGGTTGCTGTGAGCTATGACACCGTAGCACTCTACCCAGAGCAACAGAGTAAGGCTCTGTCTCAAATTAAACAAACAAAACAAAACAAAAAACAGTGATTTTGAATCTTCCTCACAGGTAAAGCTGTAAAGTCAGAGCATGATCCATACTTTCTAAAAAGCCACTGTGGAGTGAGGCACACTGCCAGTTGGCCACTTTATCTAGCAGTGTGTCCTCCGTTGTTAGTAGATTGTTATTTCTTTAGGTCGAGCACAAGACAAAATTTGTAGTTAGTTAGATTTAGGGTCCATACTGTATGACAAAATCTATTTTTGAACAACAGACTTAGATGCAGCTCTGGATGCCATTGCAACTACTGAGCTGCCCCCTGAATTCTTTCCAGGATACCCACAGAGTGGAATCTACCCTACTTAAGTAAGTTTTCTTCCTCTTTTTTCCCCCTTTCTTTGATGAACGTATTTGCAAACAAATATGTGTAGGCAATTATATACAGAGTGCTAGAGTAAAGCAGAAAGAGATCTGGCGCTAAGTACAACCAGCAACATAATCTGCCACTCTCTAACAACTCTCTTTAAGGGTCACCACACAGGCCAGGTCCAAAAAGCTACCAAGTACGCCTTCTTACATTAATAAGAAAGCAAATGAATCTTTAGTACTGAGACATTTATTAACTCATATCCTCTTACTAATTATGTGACATTAAGTCCAGACAAATTTTTACATGTTATTTAGAAAAATTAATTAAAATTGTTAAAATCTTAAAAAGGGGTGGTGCCTGTGGCACAAAGGAGTAGGGCACCGGCCCATGTACTGGAGGTGGCGGGTTCAAACCCAGCCCTGGCCAAAAACTGCAAAAAAATAATTTTTTTAAAAGAATCCCTCAGACCTTTCATACTACTGTTTGATTCCAGAATAGAGGAAGAACTACAGAGCCCTACTCAGTTCAACATGTTATTTTTACTTCCATCTTACTGAGACCAAAAGAAATCACTGGGACTACAATGTTATGACATAAAAAAAACTTTAAGTATTATATTCAAAGTAAAGATTAATAAACTAAAAAACTAAACAATCTTCAGTTTTTGAGAGATACAATATTTACTAACAAAATAAAATAAGATAATTAAGAGAGAAGTGTCTGTACTTGGTGTGGTGATCGGTGTAGAATATTCTCTGGATCTTTGTATTCATTGATTGGATTCATCACAGCTGCATACACTTCACCATAGGCTCTGCAGACTAATTCTGTAGACTGTCGTACAATCTGCTCTCTATTGATAAACAAATGTGAACACATCATCTGAAAAAATATTTTACTATGAATTGCAAGAACACTTTGTATTTTTAATCAACGCACTTCATTTTCTTATTATCATACTATTTAGAAATCACTACAACTACACGTTACTCATCTTGATTTGTGGATAAAACATGTTTTTATAATTATTATTTATTAAATTCTTCATTACTCTGTGGGTTCTGGAGCTGGGGGAGGGCAGAAACTGTGTTTTGTTCATTGTTACATCTTTAAGGTTACAACAGTTTCTGTTACATACAGTGGACTGCTAAACAAGAAACAGAAACTGACCTGCTGTCCATGTACTGATTTTGCAAAAGCAAATGGTAACACATTAACTTTAAAAAAGTTTATGATTATTCAAATTTATCAACACTTTTATATATGAGAAAAACTTCCAGTAATCAGCTTCAATGTATAGCTCCTACACTAACAGCTGCATCTCCCAGATTTCCCTGCATCTCCCTGTATCAGCAAACTAACATGTGGCACTTGCTTACAACAAATCACAGTATTCTCAGAAATGCACATTTCTACAAAAGCACATTAAAGAGTAATAGATGTAGTCTTGCAAATGTTTTTTAAAATTATTCAGCTGGGAAAAAAGTTTTAATTTCATTAAATCTGTATCAGCTCTTTCCTTCTTTTCATGATACTTCCTGTCATCCACAGCTATTTATACCATTCCTGTATCACTATACTTCTGATTTTTACCAAACTAAATTAAAAATGTACCTTTCAAGCTTTACTCCTAAGCCTACTTGTCTTATAATGTTTCTTACTTCAATTTATAGCCCAGTGCCATCACCTCAGTTTAGGTTCTAATAAACTCTTGCCTGGAATACACAGAAACTCCTACCTGGTCTTCCTCCTTGCAGTCCCCTCCACATTGAGTCCCTCCTAGGCACTGCTACTAAATTAATCTTTTGGATGGAAACTTTCTGTAAGTTTCTCCTTTAGTTGGGGCCTTCAAGGAGCTCCAGTGGCTTCCTATGGTTTCACAGAAGCCAATATTCCTTCCTCACAATTCAAAATCCTCTTATGTTCCATATCACTACTGTAATTCTGCAGCTCAATACAACTGCTGACTGTTCCCTCTGCCCTGTTCTTGCTCAGTTTCTGTGCTTATATTTCTCCTTTTTGTCTAGCATGTCTCTCTCACCACTTACAAGTGTTCTTAATGTTGAGCAAAAATATTCTCTCTCATCCATGAAGTTGTCCTTGACCTTCGGAGCTAGAAATAGTTTTTTCCTTTTTGGAACATCTCTAACACTTTTTCTGTTGCTCTCTTCTGGCATTTGCCACTCATCCCAATAAAGCATCTATCTACATTTTCTTGATTCTCACATCCTCTAACAGCTTTGTACTGGTGGAGGGCATAATCCCATATCAAAAGTATATAACTGCAGTATAACCCAATTTCAAAATGGGCTTTAAAAATTCTTTAGAGTTACAGAATTATCAAGTCTTAGCTGCCCTGCAAAACTTCACATAACTTGGTATTATTTATGTGCATATGTCCTGTTCCTTAAAACCCAATATATTTTGAATATGATGGGTGCTTAATAATCACTGAATGCTTGATGAAGAAAAATAACTTTTCTTATTTGAGGAGTCCCATTCTGGGTTCATGAACCAACATTCTTTTTCACAGGACAGAGTCATTGCCCAGCTTTTTCTTCTCCTAGTCAAGAATACACTTACATGACTGACCAGATTAACGTAATAGTAACAGTGGTTAACAGTAATATTGTTGTTACTTGTTACACAAGTGAAGGCCATGAACAACACAACATATTCTTTAAGCTATTTTACCAAGGAATTATATTCTCTTTTTTTATAATAATGGCCAAAATAATACATTTGTAAGACTATCTGTGGAAATATGCGTACCTATATATGTGCCAAAATAATACATTTGTAAGACTATCTGTGGAAATATGTGTACCTATATATGTGTCTCTGAAAAGAACAAAAATAGCTGGATAGAATGAAAAAATTTCCCTTATGATGTTAGATCATTGGTATCCTGTTCTGATGAGGTCCACACTTTCAGCAAGTTGAAGCAACTTCACATTTTTCAAAAATTGCTGAAGTTTCTTTAATGAGAGTGATTAGGGGGAAATATGCTGAGTAAATTCTCTGAACAGAATGGAGTGATGCCCTTCTGCTGGAAGAAATGATGATAGAAATTGGCTTAGAAAACTACTTAACTAAGGCTCCAAGACATTTTTCGATCTACTGACTGGTGGTCTTTCCTGCAATTGAGTTTAACAATTCACCAAAATGAGGCAAAAATTATTTTTTCATAAATAAAATTAAGTTATAATAATAAATTACTGTTTTAAAACTTTGTTAGATATCATATACATCTGATATACATTTACTCAAAGAAATAAGACAGATTTTTAAGGGGTGTATAGAACATGCACCTAATACTTTATAATAAACCAATACTCAATTTGAACCAGTATGTACCTGAAAGTACATAAGGAGCACACAGAAACAAAGCTATTCCTTTTTGTAAGAAGTTTAAAATCATCAGGTACACCAATAAATATTAAATATAATTTTAAAAAATTTAGAATAATTGTTAAACGTAGAATAAAATTTTAAAACTTCTGAATTAGTAAATTTTAAGTTGTATTTTCAAATCCTGATGACAAATTTTAAATTTACTGAAATTTTGTTGTACCTTAGGCCACATTTCTGTTTCTAAGTTAGCTTACTAATGTCTATCAATAATTCACAATAACTCATTAATCAATTAGGAAACTGTCAAGATGGTAAAGCTGGTTCACAAAACAAGTTGAGAAACTGATCGTTTATAGACATTTGAAAAGGAAGGTGAGAACAAAGCAGGTGAGCTGCAAAACAGGTTAATATGGTATAGAACAATAAGAGACATTAGGGCTCTCTCTTCCCCTGGACATGTCTGTCATATCTGCAATGTTTAGGACTTTCAACCAACAGTAAACAAAGAATCAAACAAAGGACATTCCTTAATTAATTCTGATGGGCTGGTTAACAATAATGCTTCAGGATGACACTGAAAAGACATGCTATCCTCTCCAACCTCATTTACCTATCCAAGTTTTGAAAAGTTCTAACATTTCCCTTTGTTTTGATGACTTCTGAGAGAACGTGAAAAGCAAATTATGGCACTTGTTAAAGTAATGGTGTCTAGCTTAATGAAGTTAAAAAGAAATACACGCACTTGCCGTGACAATAACATTTAAAAATGTGTTGGAAATATGAGAGTGTTGAATTATACATGAGTCAAGGTGGACTCTAAATTGTTTTAATGAGAAAATCACCAAGAGTCAAAATAAACTTTAATAAACCTTAAAAAAAAGTTTTAACATTTCTTATATTTAGAAAGTAGCTTACCATACCAGTTTATCAATTTATTTACTGCTAGAAAAAAGGATTGAGGGAGGAAAAGATCAGCTTGTTACAAAATTTTACCAATACATTTTTCAGTTAATATCATCAAAATACCATAAATTAAGGAATTAAATTTGTGCAGTTACAATTGTTACAGTGCTGTAACAATCTAGTATAATACATTTCAAAAATCTTAACAAAGATTAATACATAACTAAATGGAAATGTTACTCTTTTTCAAGTGTTCAAAGAAATTAACTGTAATTTAAATAATTATTTAAAACACTGAATGAAATGAACTGCTTACTTCCAAAATCAGTGTGATTGTCATTAACCAGTACTTCAGAATTTTTGGTTACCATAAAAACATGACACAACTTTCATCATTACCACAAACCCAGCATTTCTAAAAACAGATTATTTCAACATCAGGCTCTGTGATCACTAAAATTTAGCTTTATTTTAGCACCACAGTTTATAATCATATAAGCCATAACAGAAAAGGTGACAAAAGCTTAAGCCTAAGAAACTAAGAAGATAATATCTTTATGAGTTACAGATTGGTTAAAATTTGATTTTTCTTTATCAAGTATCAAAAATGTCACAATGGTCAAGCTGATTTTTCACCCCAGGTCAGTTTTCTGTCTCTAAGTGAAATTAAAGCAAACTTATTATGAGACCAAGGCACACATCTCACATGTATTATCTATGTCACATATGTCA